CAGATTATTGCTGTTGTTTTCAAGTATTTTGGGGTCTCCTGTTTCCCTTTTCCAGAGGCGTGGATCCACAGATCCCTCCGCCCTGCTGGTCACGGAACTGGGCTGAACCAGCCCGTAAACTGTTGACACTGAGCTTCATTTAACTTTGGTCAAAGCATAAAATTAATCCATATGCTTTTAAACAGAATTGGAACACATTACACTTTGTGTTCAATCAATGTTGTTGCTGCTGTAATTCTGCTCAATGATGGGATAGCATTTACATCCTCTTTGGTCCAATGTTTTTTTTTTTTTCAGAGACATTTGAATTTCATGAAAATATATGCAAAAAAGGACTTCAGTTAAACATCACAAAAATGCGTTTGTTAGAAGTATACTGTTATCCTTTGACAGTTATTAAAATGCCTGAGAGAGTCCACTCTCAGCAGCACACATGCTCACAAAATTAAGAGTAATTACTGATACTTTACTGAAGTATAGAACTCCAAAGAGCAGAACCTGCCTTAAGTGGTCATAGGAATACACTGGTAGATAAAAGTTCAACTTAGACAGTAAGATGAAAAGTAGTATCTGACAAAGCATCATTTTACTGTCCTTGAATAAAATTAATTTGTTAAACCTCTAAGTATTTCAGGGGATCATAGAATTACAGAAGTTGGAGAAGACCTCCAAGATCATCCAGTCCAACCATTCACCTATCACCAATATTTCCCACTAAACCATGCCCTCAGTACAACATCTAAATGTTTCTAGAACACCTCCAAGGACAGCAGCCCCACCACCTATCCAGGCAGCCTAGTCTAGTGCCTAAACACTCTTCCGGAGAAAGAGTCTTCTAGCTGCTCTGCCCCAAGCCTGTAGCATCACCTGGGGTTGCTGAGGCCAAAGTGCAGACCTGTAACTGGTCTTGTTGAATTTTATCCTGTTGGCCTCAGCCCAGCTATCCAGCCAGTCTAGATCCCTCCATGAGCCTTCCCACCCATAGGCAGATCAATGCTTAATGCTAAGTTTTGTGGCAAGAGGGCTCTGAGCTCCCTTGCATATGCAGCGAAAGAGGCGCAGACTCCTTTGCTGGTGCAGAATGAAGGATCTTTATTGAAAGTGCTTACAACCTTTTATACCCGTGCAACAACAACTGGTTACATGTAGGAGCCAGGTGCCTTGTGTGTGTTGGCATCTGGCTCAAATTACTAAGCTTTTTTACTTATTAGCATGATAATGACTTTCTTTATCCCACATCTCCCCCTTCTCTTCTTTTTAGTAGAGCAAAAAGAAAAACGATGGGTTCTTTAGAGCACAAATAATAGTCCATATTAACCTAACCCAACGATTCCAATTTGTATGATTCCTTGGTGAGGCAGCTGACAGAGCGTCTTGTCGGTGAGAGTCCAAACCACTGATGAAAGTACTGTGTTCATGTTACAACAAATGATGATATGGCCAGACTCATCATGCTGGTATCCATCTTGGACATATTCCTATTAAGACAAAAGCATAGCCTCAGTCCCACCTTATCACTGTAAATGATTTAAAAAAAATTAAGAACATAGCATGCTTTAGCTACTCTTTCCTAAGGGGTCATACCTGCACTCCCCCTTTCTTGTATTTTGTTTGTTTGTTTTTGTTTTTAAATAGGGAAATCTATTATTATTTAAATCACTGAAATTACATAATCAGAACCAGAATTAAGAAAGCCAGGCAGGTGCAGGTAAGACATTAGCGAGTCAAGATGGATTATACAACCAAATATGAGAAAGCTTCCTATATTGATAATCTACTGCACATGAACACATGTCATTTTACAGCAAATACTGTTTTCCAATTTAGAATTCAGACATAGCACAACTTTCAAACATACTTTAAACACTGTTAGGCTTATCTTAGAATTTTCTGGACATCAGGAAGTCATGTGTAATTCCCACTACCTTCACGTATTGCATGAGTATTTAACTATACTGAAATGCAAACATCACATACAATCTAAGCAATATAGTTTTGGAGAATACATCTAATGTTGGCTTAATTTATGATATACTGAAGGAATGGAAGACGTCTTAGAAAGCACAGTTTTTTCTTGATCTTGCTTTTCCCCTCCTCCTGCTAATGCAACCCAAGTTTTCTCCATCTCTCCTGGGGCCACTCTAGGGATGTAAATGCTAGAAATCTACATCTCATCTCATTCCCCTCAGTAATATATCTAAAACGAAATGTTGGCAGTAGGCAGTAACTTGCTTCCTCTATTCCTCTAACCTCTCATCTTCTAGCCACGTGTTGATTTCTCCACACCCTTGCTCTCTATCATAGCTTTCTATGACTGCTCTGAAAGCACTGGCTCCAACTTCTGTTGCCTCACAACATCAGAGGCTGATGGTGGTAGTATGGCAGTAGGGGCTGAACCTTCCCACCAACATCCTGTCACACAGCAACATAATATAAATGGTTGACAGCAGAGAGGGGCAGTCTGACAAAATGACATCTGACATGGAAGTACTTAAAAAGCACAGGTGTCACTGAATTCTTCCATGTGGGGGAAAGAAAAAAACAGCACCCACTGACACTCATTGATGCTTTCTGAACACTGATGGTGGTGCTTTTCAGCAATAGCAACAGCAGGTCACCTCCACTGGTGCAGGTTGTTGCAAGAACAGTATACAGGCTCTTGTTCATTGCTGGTGACTTGACCTTAGACCTGCCTTATCAGTACAGGCTTCAATTGCAACCTGCCCCTTGGTGGCTGGCTTTCCCTACTATTATTGCATGAAAATGGAAACAATCAAAATTACAGGAGAAACACATATTTGCCTATCTCCCCTATCCACAAAGAAACAACATGAGACCCAGGGCATGCTCTGTTCCTTAAGGCACTATTTAACAGCATCACTATTACTCAGTGTTACCCACAAATAAACAACCAACATATACCCAGAGGGTAAAACCACACTGTTTTACCTCAGACACAGTTTCTCAATTTCTTTTTGTTTCTATCAGCTATTTTCCATGTCGTCCCACTCCCCCTTCTGACTTTTTCTAAGCTCTATAATCTACTAGAAGTCCAAATAGTGTATCTACTCAGAAAATGCTCCATCTCCATTCCACACTGGAAAACAGATAGTACCCAATGTTTTGCAAATCATTTAACCCTAAACAGATTTTAACAGGATCCACTTCAGAATACCACTGGCTATCCCCATATCTTCTGACCTTTAAATATAAAAGACCAAACTGCTGTTGAATTCTATTTTAAATAAAGAATTCAATACACTCAGCTGGAACCCCCCCCGCCCCCCACCCCTCCGCCCCACAAAGCATCAATCAGATAGGAAAACTCTGCTCCTCTACCCAAAATATTGAAATTCAAGGGTAGATGCTACATTGTAACTGCAACAATAGGAGGAGGTACATACAGTTATTTTTAACCAGTTTTGTATCTCTCAGAAGGGCTCACAACTCAGTAATAAAGAAGGATCAGCTTACCCCTTTCCAAAGATCAGGACTCACTAGAAACTCCCAAAGAAGACAGTCTCCAAACAGAGATATTTCCCTTTCAGCTCCAGCCCTTAAATGAGGTTAGGGAGAAGGTGGACCCAGACCCCTTTTGGTTGCACAGGTCAATTTTGGTTGCACACAACCCTTTGGTTGCACAGGTGAATTACTCACACGTGTGCTCCCAGGGCTGGCTACGCCCCTTCACCAGGTGCTCAATCACTGGTTCAGGCTGTGAACTAACTGTTCCCATGCAGTCGACACAGCAAATAATTTAGGAAACTAATCCATGTTCCTTCAAAGCTAGTTTTCTGTTTTTCATAAGATATTTGGTGGATGTGCTACGCTTAAAAATCTTCTGAAAGCACACTTAAACTCCTCAGAATAGCTTATTAAATATTTGCAGTTGTCTAGGAAAATTTCTGATGGCAGAAATTTTTTGCCATTGTGCTGAAAAACACAAAATAATACAGTTGCCTTTTTAAAACCAAAGGTGTAGTGTCTCTGCAGGCACATTATGCTGAAAAGTAGCCTTTTGTAATTGCAACTCTTTAGTAACTAGATATTCTCTTTTATGTCCTTCTATCACACTGATCTCAGAAGGATAGCCTACTGATTGTGAAATTTTAAAATATAATATTATAAGACAGCAGCACTATCCACAACTATTTTTTTCCACTCATGTTTGCCATTAGAAAACCTGATTTCAAGAACTCAACTTTGCCAAATTTGAACTGTGTCAGCTAAAGTTTTCCATTCTCAAAACCACAAGCATTCAAGCATTTCTGAGGAGTCTGGGGGGGGGGGGAAGTCTTTTTTTTTTCTTTTTTTTTCGTTTTTTTTTAACATGACAAAATTGTAGTAAATTTCCACTTGAAAATATTTAGTGCCAGTGTGGTACAGCATATTCTCTCACCCCTGAAGGCAAAAGGGGTTAATAAATTCTTGATTTACCAGGGAGCTGCACATCTGCAAGTAATGGATGGATGAAAAACTCTATTCGGAATGGGCTGATGATGCTGTGACCACTGCCAAAATACCCCAAAGCACTTTGCTGTCCAGCATCAGGCCTTCGTGAAGGTAACCAGAAAGCCTCAGAAAGCCAAGTTGCACATTAAGCAAGGAGAGATAATCCCATAGACCTAGAAAAGAGATCCTTCTGCAGAGATCAAACTAGCCCAAGACTAGAAGGTGTTACTGGGACTCCTGACTAATGGAATTTAAAGATCCTGTCTTAGAAAATTTAACAATTTCAAACAATATCTATGTTTTCTCCAGTAACTCAAAGGTACATTACACAAAGAAGCTTGTGGTATTTCAGAAAGGCAGTTCTCCCTCTCAGATTAATTTAAATATTTGGGCACAGGTAGACATAGTTTTAAAACAGGAATAGTTGCTATTTTAACTGCATTTGCAATCTGGAGTGAAGTGGTCTCAGATAAGCAAAGCTCTACAGTGTACTCTTAACTATAAATGATCAAGCAGTCCTCTAAAAGCCACTTCTCTGGTGATTTGCTGACAAGAAGTCGGAATAAGTAGTTTTTGCAATAAAGGCAACAGATTGTACAACAGAAAAACTGAGAACAGTTTGAGGAACTTGCTTAAATAAAATCAGAAGAAATCTATGCTTTTGAAGGGAATGCTAAGCTGCTTGCATACGCCAGTCACCAGTCTGCTTTCTCTCTGCAAAACGCTTTTGTCAGAGCAAGAGGGCCAATGCTCCATAGGCTGGCAAATCTCAGGGCAGAAACAACTGGAGTTTACCATCCAAGGTGGCAGTGACGAGCTGCAGTTCAAAAGAAAAGAACTATGGCTTTAATCAACGTCTTTGCAGTGAGTTAAGTTTGCATCAGTGTAAATAGAAGTAAAGTGAATTTAAATAACTTCTATGTTAAAAGACAACTAAAAGAATTCACCTTTAAAATGCTCCAGCTTTACCTATAAATTCTTCTAACACAAACTAGCCTGAAAATTCCTTTTTTTTTTTTTCCCTTCTCAAGCTCTTCAAATTTGTGTCAAGACCAGCTAGCATGTCAACAGTTTGTCAAAACAAAGCATATGTTTAAACCACATAGAAATTTAAACAGACTGCATTGTGTATGACTCAAGAAGGGAACATAAAATAAACATGAAAGGGCTGGAATAAGTGAAGATGGAAAACATTATGAATTAAGTCAGTCATACTACCATGTGGTATTTTCAGGCTTTGGTTGATGTTAAAATGTAGTATAATTTCCTTTCTAGAATGTATACTGAAAGAGGACGCAAACCTTTATAATGAAGCAAGAACTACGAGTCTTAGTTGCATTAGCTTTCTTTTATCAATCTCACAAAATCTTAATTCTGAAATAAAAGTAAGTTCTATTTTCTGCAGTTTCTTCTGTAAACTAAGCACTGTGAAAGTTATGTCTTCAAGCGGTACCTTTTATTCAAGGTGTTTTCACTGTGTGTATCAGGACTTACAGTCACTGATGTCAGTGACAAAAATCCAAACTATACTCAGTATATTTTGGTTGAAAGCAAACAAATATCTCATGCTCTAATCAGTTCATCAAAATTCATCTCATCATATCACTTACAGTTCTCATCTTTATTTCTCTTGACCTGTTATTTGACATGCTTAGTCATTCTCTTACTTTCTTTGGCTCAGTAAATTATACTGTTTGCTTTGGTGGTTTGTACATCCTCCTTCAATATCCCCAACAACAAATTTTTAATCTCCCACAACAGCTATCCCCAAGGACTGTGACTTCAGTTCTCTTATTTTCATCTCTTTCTCTCTCATTTAAGTAATCTTGATACCATAATCTATTCAGAACTGTCCAGTCTGCTTCTTCTAACTGTATTTTTATTGCCATTTAAGACTATTCCACCTTTCATAAATACTTTTATTGGCTCCCTATCTACCTCTGTAACTTATTATTGGAAAGAGGATATGTTGGTAAAATATGTAAGTAATCTATCCTAAGTTACTGTATTTTTTGGGGAAAAAAAA